ATACAATCAACTTGTTATCCGTTTTATTATAACAATTCATTTAATGTCTTATTTTTCGTTATTGTTTTAAGTTTTTGAAAAATATTAAAGTTTTCATTTTAATTGATATTACAATTCATTTCACAAAATGTTTAATTCATTAAAATTAATATTCATATGAATTGTGTATAAAAGAGTGCACTTATAATACATTCCCTATGTTTTGACCGGTATTTGGTTGAAAACATGTAATGATTGCATAACATATTGCCATCACTTATACATCTTATATTGGGATCAATTGCTTCATCTGTGCCATCGATGCCATGGATTCTCGATGTGATGTCCGATGTGTTGAATGCGATGATAGCGTTGTCATTGAGTTTGTCTATACTATAGACACCACTTCTCAGCGATCTTTTCACTTCAAACGCGACAAAAACGAGACTTTGAGGCAAACATTCGCCAGAATTGCGTTGAATATCAACAAGTCTTTGAAGAAGAAGACAAAGACTAAGTCCAAGACCACCGCTCAAACCGATGCCGACGCCGTTGACATCCATCTGATCAGCGATGGGGTCAGTGTTTCTCAAGACTCGGCCAACACTCATGTCTGGAAATCAGGTGATTATAATAGTTAACTGTAATTAAATATTCAATTGTCTAACAATTGGCATACATTTTAGGGCAAACTCTTGTGGTGGGAGTGAATCGATATAATGTCTTCGTGAACGCGCCGACAGTTAAATGGATGCGATTACTCAAAGTGTTGATGTCTTCGTTTAAAATCTATCCAATCATTTCACTTGAATTTTGTTCACTTAATGAATGCCAATACTATTGGTTTCGGGAATCGATTCAAACAATTAATAGTACTGTCGTTGAGATGGGAACCGATAAACAGACAAAACAAACGGCCAAAGACTCTGAAAATAGTGATTGGGTTTTAGTTGGAGAAGGATTTTATTACGAGACCACTAGTGATGATATCGGCTCTAAACTCAAAGTGGTTTGTCATCCGTTGAATGGCAGACAATGCGAAGCCATTTCTGAGAATCCGATTGAAGCGAATCCCGGTTTGTGTCCATTTGAAGAGAGGACTATGTTTTGCCAAAATGCTGTCAATTTTGGCTCATTTCGTATCGTTTCGTACAATATATTGGCCAACATTTACGCGGATCAGGACTACACCCGAACCGTACTCTTTCCATACTGTCCTCCCTATGCGCTCGCAATTGATTATAGAAAACAATTGTTGCTAAAAGAGATCACCGGATATAAGGCAGACATCTATTGTTTGCAAGAAGTGGACAAATTAGTCTTCGACGCCGATCTCAAACCAATTATGTCTTCTTTGTATGAAATCAATTCTAAACCAAAATATGAATCCATTTTTAGCGAAAAGGGAAATACAGGCGAAGGTTTGGCCGCTTTTGTCAATACATCCAAATTTGAGATATTAAGTGCCGAAACTGTCTGTTTGTCTCAAGAACTCCAAACAAATCCAATTTTTGCACAATTATTAAGTGATATTAGCGTTAATGAGAAACTATTGGACCGATTAATGGCCAGATATTCGGTCATTCAATGCATTCTCTGCATGAGTTTAGAGGACAACAATCGGGCCATACTTTTAGGCAATACTCACCTATACTTTCATCCCGACGCCGACCACATCCGACTCATTCAGTCTTATATTTATGTTAAATATATTGAAAACAAAATCAAAATATTATCAAAAAAGGTTTGCTTTGAGTTTGAATTTACATTTTAAGCCAATTTATTAGTTTTTTATAAAACAAATATCATTTTTAAAACAGAGGCCAGAATTGAAAGTCTCGCCAATACTTTGCGGCGATTATAACAGTTGTCCAGAATTTGGTGTTTTCCAGTTAATGACCACCGGTTTGATCCCAAATCACATCCAAGATTTCAAAAGCAGTAAATATTTCTATTCAATTACAAGAACTTATTCTTTACTATCATTTAAAACACATGTCATTCACTTAGACTCGGACGAGACAATCGATGGCATTGATATGCATCACAGCTTAAGTCTGGACAGCGCTTGTGGTCAACCGGTTTACACCAATTACACGCCCGGTTTCAGCGGTTGTCTCGACTATATATTCTTCGATACGAATCAATTAGAAGTGTCTGAAGTGATACCAATGCCAAGTCATGAACAGGTGGTCCAGAATATGGGTCTTCCGAGTATTGTCTTCCCTTCAGACCATTTGGCACTCATTTCAGTACTTAAATGGAAAACATGTTAACATTCAAACACTTTTAGTGTTCATTCAATTATAACTTAAAACAACTTTTTATTTATTACAAAATTATTATATTTTATTAAATTTCTATTAAAAACTTAAATTATATGAAAACAAATCACGTGTTTATATGTTGTTTACGACTGAGTTTGATATGAATGGCAGAGACTGTCCTCTTCTGTATGAAGGAGTCGTTAAGATCTCGAGAGTCACCGATCGGTTCCATATCGTCGATCATATCCACTGAAGAGGTATTACACGTCATCTCTAAATGATTCATGTCTTTGAGTTGAAGCGACAAATTGATGGCCCGATTGATGGCTTTGGCCAACCCGTGGACCACAATGTGGTCGGAGTCCGAGTCGAGCGAATCCAACGCGTGTTGACATCTCTTGAGTTGAGTCCCGAAATTGGTTCTCATATTAACGTAGAAATCGATGTCTCGTTTCGGCAAATGGTTTGGCAATCGCTTTCTTAACACATATTCTTCTGAATCCAATCGTTTGGTCACTTCTTTGGCCGACTTTTCGGACATGTTTTACATTAAATGGACTCAAAATTATGTTTCAATAGTTTTGGAAATTAATAATAAAAACAAATAAAGGGATTGTATTTAAATTGCAATATATATCTACAATTAATACAATTATTGTAATTATCGATTCATTTGTGCCATAATTACAAAAAAGTGGATTTAAAATGATTGTAATTCACTCGAAGAATGCAATGAATGTAATCATTGGTTAGTAATACTAACTTAATTTAGTATAACATTTAATGTATAATCGCATAAACGATATAATAATTTATTATTAATAAATGGAAAACATGTTAACATTCAAACACTTTTGGTGTTTCATTCAATTATAACTTTAGAAAGTTTTTATTACAAAATTATTTTTATTAAATTTCTTTGAAAACTTAAATAATATGAAAACAAATCACGTGTTTATCTGTTGTTTACGATTGAGTTTGATATGAATGGCAGAGACGGTCCTCAAAGTGGTTACTTGTCTTGAGTCGGAGAGTAGTCCGAGTCTCGTGGATCAGAAACGGTCGCATCACTACTGGACTCTTCACTCGTCTATAAATCAAAACTATTTAATATATATCAATATATAACACGTAATGCAGAGAAATACCAGTTCATAGTAGACATGTTGTTTATTGGTCTCACTATTTATGCCCTCACTTTTCAAACGTCGCTTAGGACGGCCACTGCCCGGCGTTGCCATGCCGTCAGTCGTAGGGGTGGCCGCAAACTGTTCTTCAATTTGATTCTGAACCGAAACATCGGTGGGCGACGAGTAGTTTCTCTTACGAGATGTCCCGGCATTGGTTTGGGTCATGAATTGGCCCGCGTTTGCGATTTGAATGGCTTGAACGGGACTCATGGGTCCCACCTGTTGGCCAGCATTGGTCGGAACGTTGGCCACGATATTCCCCGACGGAGTTATACTCAGGCTCTGTAGAGCTGCGGGAGAAGCGGATATCACCTGCTGTTGACCTCCGCCCTGGAGTTGTATTGTCTGCAGTCCTCCCATTCCCTGCACTTGAATCACTTGGTTCTGACCGGATCTCAAACCTAATGGCAAACAATAAAACCAATTACCAAAACATTGCAAAACAATTCAAGTGATGGCAAACATTGTATTGTCTGCAGTCCTCCCATTCCCTGCACTTGAATCACTTGGTTCTGACCGGATCTCAAACCTAATGCCAAACAATAAAACCAATTAACAAAACATTGCAAAACAATTCAAGTGATGGCAAACACTGGACACATACCGCCTAAACTCGAGAGGTTTATTGAATTTGATGGCCAAACGGGTGCCGATATTAATTGTCCGATCTGTCCGTTCGGCAACTGGACGTTCGCCAAAACCGTTTGGCCGCTTGTGTTGGACGACATACTCGTCGGGACATTACTCTAGCAAAACAAATACAACAAACGGTAAGTTTAGTTATTTTCAAGACACCAAACAATGAACGCATACTTGATTTGTTTGATTCACTTGGTTTTCAGTTCCCGGTTCTTGCGTCCCGACGGCCGCCGCACTACTGACCACAACCTGTGGATTGAGTTGAGTGACAGTTCCGTCAGGATTTAGTACTCCAAGTGTTTGTCCCGAATGTACGGGAAATAAGTGCGCAAAGTCTGAGGCGTGAAGAACTTGGTTCTGACCGCCGCTCACGAGCTTTACTGTAGTAGTGGT